GTGCATGTACTACGTACATGGTATGGCCAAGAGTCCAAAATTTATGGACTCTCGGTATGACCTAGGCCCATGGGCTTGTACGATGAAGCTTTGTGATGTTCGAACAAACCCTGGGCTTATGCGCGGGCATGGGCTTATACGCGGGTGGGCTTATCCGTGGGATTCTACGGTAATACGGTATGTGGGATGAAGAATGCATATTAGCTGCATTCATGCAATATGCATCTGTGCTGCAATCATGCACCATACTAGTCCGTGAAAATGATCCAACTTTTTCACTCGTGAATCGGTGGGTGTATGAACAGAGCCGAGTGACAGTGCTGCAGCGTGTGACCAGGTGACAGTGATATCTCTGAATCAGCTCTTTGATGATGCTGCACTTTTTATCTTCAATAAGGAGACTTTATGCCCTTTGTCACATGTACTATTTTATCATGACAAGTGAAATCTGATGTCTCGTCACTCAATTCGGTGACTGATGCATTGGTTGCACTAAGACTAGGACCAATTATTATGGAGTGTGCGGGGGACATATTTTTAGAGAAGTATTTAGATATAAGGCCACACAGAATTAATTCGTTGTTTTGGGTCACCCGACCGACCGTCTTTTTTAAACCGACCACAAAATGTTTTTGTTTTATTGTGCATGCAAAATGTGCATGACTAGATTATGTACGCACTCGACCTTAATGATGTTAGTAATGATCCTCACCCTGCGCACGAAATAAGCAAGCAGCAAGGAATGCTTCCGTAAGGATCTCAGGCATAGGCTTCAAACATTCTCACATCTCAATTTTGCTTCCGCAGAGCATTGTTCAGAGCAACCACGCACGAAATAGAACATTCTCTAAGAATGCCAGCGGTGAGTGTGTTCGTGTTCGACGGAACACGACGGGAGGGCCTTTGGCGTCGAAAACTTTCAGACGGTAGCTGAAGTGGTTTCTGAGCAGATCATTCCTGATCCGGAGGTCGCGATCGATTTTCAGCTGTCCAGACATCGACCTCGGAAGCAGCCAAAATGACAGGGTGCAGCGCTTGGTAACGCCGTTGTCTTCTATTATCTCCGATCCGCAATCGGTCCTGAAACAGCATCAGCTCCGCCACCACGTCGCTCATGGACAGAAGTTTTGGTGAGAGCTGCTCATCAGACTCGTTTCCCTGCGAGGCCAAGATCTGGTCCTGGAGGGGACCTGGGCCCGATGACTGTGCTTGACCGTCTACAATCAGATTTGATCGACTGGCTTGATGGACAAAAGCTTGGATATTCGATGTGCACAATTGTACATGTATGCACATGGCACATGGCAGTTTAATTAAACCAAACTAATAATAAAAAACCCTTGGTAGTCTTCCGTCCGACTGTATTGTTGCGTTGCTGGATGTCGTGTCTCTGTACTCCAACATTCCTGTCCCCGAGAGTATCGACGCTGCGATGAAGCTACTGGAGGAGCATCGAGACGAAGTAGACATGTATCACTTGTCATTGTCTGATGTTCGTGAGCTGCTAACATTTGTTCTGGAGTCCAATTACTTCGAGTTCAACAGCAGTATGTTCAGGGAGTGTAAAGGTTTGGCGATGGGGAATCATCTTGCCCCTTCTTTAGCGATCATTTTTATGTCAAAGTTGGAGGAAGAGGCGCTGGCATTGTTCCCATGTAAACCGCGTCTGTACCGTCGATACATTGATGATTGTATCTTGGTTTGGTTGCATGGTCGTCGGAAGTTAGTGGAGTTTGTGTCCTTCATGAACAACCGACATCCTGACATCAAATTCACCGTTGAATGCACTCATGACGCAAATTCACACACCATCAGCTACCTTGATTTGTCAATCAGTGTCCAGAGTGGTGTTCTCCAGACGGAGCTGTTTGTCAAGCCAAGTCACAGTGGTGTTCATTTGTCCTACATGTCGTCATTGCCAATGGATGTCAAGAAGTCTGTAGCCCGGCAATAATTTCAGAGAGCTTACAACAACGCATCGACAGAACAGGGCCGAAGTAGGGGAGAAGAGAAGATCACTAAGCTACTGCAAGAGAATGCCTATCCACAACCAGAAATACAAGCAGCGAAACGCAGAGCATCCGTGCCAAGACAAACCACTAACCGCAAAAAGAATACATATTCATCCATCCTCAAACTCCCATTCATCAACGATTGCCTAGCCCGTGACGTTCGTCGTACAGTTCGGTCGTGCAGCAAGAATGTCCGTGTTGTCTTTCAGTCTGGTCAGTCCCTGAAAGACATGTTGGTGTCTTCCTCGTTTGCCAGTCCAGAGTGCCCCCGAGAAGTGTACAGAAGGAAGGCGAAGAGAAGAGGAGGCCAGTGGAATGACGTGCATGTGATGTTGGTATGAGTGACGGTCAGTGTATATCACAGAATGTGATCTATTCAATGTTTTGTTCCATTTGTGGGGAGGAGTATGTGGGAGAGACGGAGCGATGTGTTAGAGAGCGGGTCCAGGAACATTACCGAGAAGCAAGAGTCTGTGCATCGCAGAAGCCCTGGGGAGAGCACTACGCATTGCACCAACCACTATAACATCCATCCACAGCACCATTCATTCCCTTCACATCACCATCCATACTCGCAACGGAAGTGTCATACTTGAACCGCCGGATAAGGGAGGCAATCCACATCTCCTGACGCAATCCTAAGGTGAACCGTGATCGTGGTTGGATGTTGCTTGACAATGTGAAAATTTGGATGATTATCATTGTTACTGTTGCCACTGTCCTGTCCTGTTGTCATGTGTGCTTGTTCACGCCATTGTTATATACCAGTAGTTCAGCACAATGTTGTAGCGTAAGTGCAGTTTGGCGACGGAATCTCATCTCTCCTTCTTTTTCATAGTCCCACCACTATTCACACCTTGTCACGGTTTTCAAGCACATTGGTATATTTTGTGTGTGTCTTTAGTTACACGTGTGTGGGTGTGGGTGTGATTTGGAGTGTGAGCCTCTGTGAGTGTGAGTGTTGGTGCGAGTGTGAGTATGAGTGTGTGTCTCAGTGTTTTGGCACGTGCATGGGTATGTGTGTGTGTGTGTGTGTGTGTGTGTGTGTGTGTGTGTGTGTGTGTGTGTGTGTGTGTGTGTGTGTGTGTGTATGCCTGTGCCGAAAGTATCGTGCAATTTATCACGTATGGTGTAGTTTCGTTCCACTTTGTGTTGCCTGTTATAGGTCTGCCTCACTTGCTTTTCTCCTCAATCCTGATGACGGCTCCTGGCCGAAAATGTGATTGAGAAGCATTGTAATTCCAGCGAAGAGACCAATGGGATTGAAGATGGTGTGTGTGTAAGGTTTTCCAATATAAAAAAATAAAAAATATACCGATCGACCGATCGACCGACCCTGGTACAGATGAATGAAGTGACCTGAAACAACGAATAAATTCTAGGTGGCCTAACTAGCCACCTTTGTGGACGAGTTATGACCCCTCACCTATTTCACTATTACTGTATGGTGATTTGTTTTGTGGGTGTGCATTGCTGTACAAGTACATCCTGGGCCAATGTTCATTGGAAACCCTCAGTATCCATTGCCAAGACGCCAATACAGCGACTATCGTCATGACCAAGGTGCCGGTGAGGAATTTTCTTGTTTTTGATCTAGCCCGTTCTATACCACGATAGGCCTTTTTTTAAACAGCCTACTAGGGCATGGGAGAATGAAGCTGAAGACACCACAGTAGCTGTACTTATGGTTGAATGGTGGTAAAGACACACCTGGCAATATGGCGGTAAACACACGCCTGCCCACACACGCTCTCTAAGCTGCAAAGTTCTGGCACAGAGCTCTCCTTCTCACCACCACCACCACCACCATCAGTTCTCGCCTGGCGCCTAGTCGATGCATGGTTGGCGGTATCCGACATAGCAGGCTGGTACATCAAGTAGCGCATGGCACATAGAAGATGACACAGCAACAACATAGCTCAATTGCGACATACGTTTCGTCCCCGCTGGACTCATCAGGCAATCTTCTTCTTGGATGTCTTCATACGGAGCTTGACTCGGGAGAGTGTTTACCGCCATATTGCCAGGTGTGTCTTTACCACCATATTTATCAACTACTTGTGCATGGTTGATAATAGTGCAGCTGGGAAAATTAGTGGCCAGGACGATTGTGGTAATGTACGAAAATGATATGCAGCAGAGTGCGGATTTAAAAAAATACTAAATTTTGCATGCAGGTGTCCCTAGATATTTTGATTACACTGAGCTGACAATCTGATTTTCTCAAATTTGGCACTTAGCAGGTTTTGCATTCCAGCTCTTCATTTTGTTCTTCAGACTTTTTCCCATCTACCCACTTATAAACCAACTAGTTTCTCATGTACAAACTAGCACGTGGAGAACCCCAAAATATTTAAAAAAAAATGTTCTGGGGCTCTCCATATCTTAGTTTGTACATGAAATGTGTAAGTAGGTACAGTGGGGGATGCTTATACCAGCCTGTGTAGTACAGGAAGCGTAAGTTTGGAAGTCTAAAGATAATGTTGAACTATCTCTTCAGGGACTATGCCTACACCATAGCTTAGTGGCGGTGCCTGACCCAAGCCTGCACTCGAACAAGCTTAGTCCAACTGGAGAAGCGGGAGGACTGCAGTGCTGACTGATGTACTATGATAAACGAACTCTCCTGTTAGCTCCCCCATCGGTAACAGCCTGCACTGTGTGGACAACGTACTGCCTGTAAGTTGTCCATCTCCAGAAATGCCTTGCACCACCAGATGCCGTGACCTCCTTCACAGGTGGGCACTTCGGTGACTTCTGCGGGGCTGGGCTGGTGCTGAAATTGGCATACGTCCTGGCCATTTCTCTGTTGGCGCTAGCATTCGTGGTCGGCTTGCTCCATCTTGCTTTATGGGACCGTGTCATCCCTCGTACTGTCTCGGTTGCCGTAACGAGGCTCCGCCTCTTGGGTAGCCCACTCTAATAGAGCCAGTACCGACTCTTGCTTCCGTTGCTCAAATAGCCACCGCTGGTATTGGGCAACGAGCTTCTCAGAAAGCTTCCCTAGCATTTTCATGTAGAATGTCCTAAGCCTGAAGCTCAGTGAAATGACCATCTGGCAGCATCTTGCAGATTCACTGCGACGACTTCAAGTAAATCTGCAAAGCGTTCAAGCTCCCTGGGGTCCAGTGCTGCCAACCTGCTCGGTCTGATTTGCGTACTCGGACAGCTGAATTTCCGCATCTTCAAGTGGTTTTCCATACTACCAATCATTTTTAATCCCATGATTTATAATGTATTCTTGCGACATTTGTAGTCTTTGGGGTACCGGGTGCTCAGTGGGTCGTACATGCATGGTCTTGGTCCCAGGAAGTAATGCGTCACACGAACTGTAGCTACCTGTATGTGAGGACAGCCAGCGGGTGTGGCCAGTGCAACAAGCAACCATGCGCAACACACAGCGCCTGTAAGCTTTGTCACTCTGTCTGAGGCTTGAGGTTGCAGTCAGGAACACTGTTTTTTAGGTGCACTCCGCAGTTTTATGTGCTCTGCATGCAATAACATACTACAATGTAGTAGTCATGACTTGTGTACAGACTATCATAGTCATGACATGACTTGTGTACTGATGAAGCCATGCAGACCGTAGTAGTCATAATTGTGCAATTTGTGGTTGTGGCATGCACTGTAGCTGGGTTTGGTAGGACAAGGATACATGTATACTCATATTGATAAATCAGGACCATATCCATTCAAACTGTACTCATCATGTACATGTACAGTTACATGACATGCATACCATGTCATGTACATGTAGAAAAACCGGTTCATAGTGAGCTGATCCATACTTCTCAGTTATCCGTACAATTTCGGTCAATTTCCGTACTGCGGACAAAGGAGTGAATTTCCGTACGAATACGGAAAAATATGGAAGGTTGGCAGCACTGGGGGTCTTCTCCAGAGATGGCGATAAACTGAGCCAGCTCCTCCACGTACATTACGACTTGACGGCGCTTACCACCAAACTTCTACTCTAGCCGGGCCTTGGCTATATCTTAACCTCTCTGCTTGTAACCAAGATTGGTGACGGCTTACAACGCGTCCCCGCCCAGGAACTGCTTCATCTGGAGGAACTTATTCTCTGGTGTAGCTGGTGACGAATCGACACAGGCAATAAAGGACGCCTTCCACTCCTCATACTTCCTCTTGTCTCCTGTGAACATCTCTATTGATGCTCTCTTCATAGTGGAGCAAACGCTGGTGGAGGTGGTATTGCCCTGGGCATGGCAGCCTGGAACTGCTGATGGTCTCCAAAGTGTGAACTTGACGCTGCTGGTAGCACTGGAGCGCTCCTTGTATATGGTTGACTACTGACAGTACTGGCAATGACTGCATGTGACACCGGTGCACGTAGGCTGTGGCCTGCCCAAGACGCAGTCGCGGGTCGGCTCGTACTTGGCAGGTTCCGAAGTGATGCTGACGCGCTGGCTGTGGTCAGTGTAGGCGCGCTGGCTCTGATGCCAATGGCTGTGATTGATGACAATCTTCCGGAAGCGAGTACCGTGGTTGTCGAATTAATGTTTGCACTCACCGTTGTGGGCACTGACGCTGCTGATGCAATTGCTTCGCTAGCCTTCGAAGCTAGCAGTAATGTTTGGTTTGCGACGTCCGTTGTTCCTTTGCTGCTGGCACTACGCTGTACAGACTCCTTCGTGAACAGTCGTCCCTGGCCATAGCTGGTGAAACCCTGGTCTTGGTCTAGTGACTCAGCGCGCGTGTCTCGAGTCTCCGAGTCTGGGGAGTCCGAGTGCGCTGCGAATAACCGGCGCATCCATGGATCTTCTTCACCCAGGCCACGAGGCCACGGGCATCTATCTTCCTCGCACTCCGCCGAAGCCTCCGATACCGCGGAGAAAGCTGGCCTCCTCAGGCTCAGAGCGCTCATCACCTAGAACGCTCATCGCGAGTCCTCTAGTACTTGCTTCCGCGTATCTAGGACTAGTTGCACTGGCCGACTCCCAGGTCCGTGTGTGACTTCTACGACTACAAGTAGATCTACCGCTCTCAGTAAATCTTCGCTGGCTGGACACCACATCATTTCCTTGTCGCGCCTGAGTGACTTTCTGATCGCCTCCGCCTCCGGTCCCGTACGAAGGAACAGGCAGATTGTGAACTGCGGCACTGTACTCGGCCTGTAGCGTCTCCAGTTCTGCTATCAATGGTAACTTCTCTTTGACATCGCTGGTGATGTTCAACAATTCGTCGGTGACCGCTACGACCTCCTCCATGCAGCCTTGTAGATGCGAGTGTTCCGCTTCTACATCCTCCAGCTGCCCATTGTGTGCGGTTACTAACAGCGCCCTCCTGGCATTGGTGAAGCTTCCCTCTGCTTGCGCCTTCCATTTGCGCAATACGACAATGCCATCATCTCTTACCACAACATCCGATTGCTGAGGCGTTTTGCCGCGCTGTTGCGACTCTTCTACCGCGTCCTCCGCGCTACCCTCGACTCTTGTGTCAATGTCCTCCATCTTCGATATCGAAACTCACTTCCACTGTCTACTCACTTTGACACTACTGGAAAACCATCCTCTGCTACCATGCGACCGCTGTTATGGAGGATCACGGGATCCACCGAATCCACTATCGGCAATCCACAGCAACAAGGCCTCGGAGTGATGGAGAACACCCCTTCTATCCAGTTTCTAACTGCTAATGAAGTCCCTGTAGACACTCACACAACACACGCCTTTCGATAGGTGTTGTTCTTCGATATTTTCACTCAAGTACAAGAAATAAACGTAAAACCGACTTTAGCAACAACTGCAAGAACGCTTCATCTGAAGGAATAATGAGATCGCAGCGATTCTTATGGTAGGTTGAAAGCACACAGCACATCAGAAGCCAAACACAGACGAAAGGAAACAATTGGAATAAAAATACAGTAAAACAATTCCGCTGCACGGTTTAACGGAAAACAAAGAAAAACCGCAGATAACCGCTCGGACAATCACCGGGTGGTCGCCGTCTGAGGCACGTCAATGCACAAAGGCAAAACCGGCCAATGTTGCAGAAGTATTCAATATGGCAGGAAACTACTAACCAACTCTTCTTCCGTGTCCAAACACCTATATTTAGCAGCTACATGTAATACTCTGCTATATCAAGATACATGCCATGACAATGCACAACAGAACTAGCAGTGCTCTCCTGAACAACCATTGTCCATGTCCTTGTTTGAACCCATACAAAATTGGCCCTTTGTAGGGAACCCATTTCGTGTACTTCAAGTATAACGAACCGTATCTTAAACCAAGTGCAGTCAAACAGTTATGGGCCACGTGGCAGTCAAGACTTTCTGTTTGTGTAGTGGGAGTGCATGTCTGTTACAATGAACTTCGGCTTTGCAGAGCTAAATCTCCTGTGTTCGTTATACAGGTGGAATCCTGATAATTCGAATATGGCTTAATTCGAACACACCGCTTAATTAGAAGTTTTTCCAGGACCGATTTCTGTCAATACGATTCCTACATAACATTTTCTGTTAATTCGAACCTCGAACCGGACATGTCCGGTTAATTCGAAGTTCCATGGATTCCACTTACATAGAAAATGTGTGGGATTTGTGCTGATAATTCGAAGTTAGCAACGTGTAATTCGAAGTTCACTGTACACTGTACTGGTCAGTGCAGTTTGCATGAGCTGGCTGTGCCTGTCAGTTCAGTATCCGTGAGATCTGTGTCTAAGGTCCATAGCGCAACTCTACGTGACCATGGGAGCATTTTGACATACATATTGTGTTGTGGGTTCATGTTTGGATAATTAGAATGTCCGGATAATTAGAAGTTTTTTTCTGGCATTTGGAGGTTCGAATTATCAGGATTCCACCTGTATCAGGAATCGACTGTCCATTCAGTGTTAAAATAATGTCGTTTTAAAAGTAATGTTGAGTATCACAACCTTCTCCAGGTGACACCAGAATGACTGTGTTTTGTTTAGGTTTGGATGGCTGGCGTGTACAAGAAGAAGAGAGGAAATTGGAGGAAAAGAGACTTGCTCGGCAAGATCAGAACACGCGCAGCCATGCTGCAGGGCGGCTGCAGACACAGCAGTCCATGCCTGCTATTCCTGGCGGTCGGTGTGACCAGGATGACCATTGTCACGGTGACGTACACACTGCTGCTGAACGTACCTCCGAAAACCGCGAAGTTCCTTCTACCCAGGAACAAAGTGACACAAGCACTCCCAAGTCGAACGATGCATTACAAACTTGCGGCCAACCTGATAACAGGAGTGCTATTCATCTGGATGAAAAAGGTAGTGTGAACGAAATTGGCACTGTCATGCATTAAGACCATAAGACTCATACAGCAGGAGAGAGGAAAATGTTCCGTTTTACTTCGAAGAGAAACTCTGAGTTTTGCAGTTTCACATGAGGACTCGTGTTACAAGCGTGATACTCGGAATTTTGCAACGAATTTTTCTCCTCTCTCCTTGTTGTGTGGCAAAACTCTACATTTGTGCATTGTGTATTCTTCAAGCAGTGGAGCTTTTTGCTTAGGAAAGTATCACTATAACAGTTCTATCCCAGAAATAACTTTTAACTGTTTTGTCAAGTGTTGCTGTATGTGATAGATACGTTTCCAGTGAATACCAATGCCCCTCGAAGGGAAGAAACCAGGGCTTTGACCCAATGGAATATCAACCAGGCACAGAATACAGTACCTTTCCCTAGTAGCCTCTTGATTGGGTGCTTTGGTTCTAACTCAACCCATGCATTGGTGATACTATCCAAGCAACACTCGATCAGTTGACCCGGTGGTGTTACATCCCTGTGTCTGTAATTTCATCCTTGGTGTGGGGTCAGTGCTATGAAAGTGACTGCTGCTTGTATTGCTGCTGTGCGGTCTGCTTGGTTCAGATGATGTTGATAGCAACGCAGCAGCTGGTGGTAATTCTCCTCTAGCTAAGAGACACGACCTTTTGGAGCAAGCCGATGATAAGAAAACGGACGACAGGGAGCCTGTGGCCTGGAATCTCGTGCCTAAGGTTACTGAAAAGGTGTCGCCTTCTCAAACGGCCTCATCTGGTACAGCACCACCAGTTGCAAGCAAGGTAGATGTCAGCCGCGGGACAGCTAGTGAAGGCACAGGCAAGTTCTTTTTTTCATGTTCTAAGTATGAGTTAGCAACATTTGCTACATTAACTCTTTCACTGCCGTTGTCGACTGCAGTCGACAGCGCATTCATGCACTTCGAGTGCCATTGTCGACTTGCGTCGACGAGTAAACATGCAGTCCCCAGTGCTGTTGTCGACTTCCGTCGACAGGCAGACCTCACCCAGTTTGTGCCTCTATTTTCGAATATTGGAGATGTTTAGCCGTGGTAGACGGCCACTGGGCCCTGGAAGATGTCCATACCCATCGAAATACGCTTCCAGAAGTATGGGTTGCCATTTGAAAAAAATCGAACCAGCGTCGTTGAAAATGCGCATCCGATTTTTAGCCGATCGGCGAGGAAGAAACCGGTTCTCACGCACTTCCACCTCGCTGAGTCGGTGCGAGTATTTTCCTCTTTCCCGTCAACTTTCATTGCACGGAGCATGGAATTTGGTTCAGACTTGATGCCTAGCTATTACCCAAGACTCCAGGCGGCTATCCGTTGCGATAGGCGGTTGGAGTCACGGGTAGAGACAACCAGACGATAGATTCCTCGCGGACGCATTCACTGCAAACTTGACGGAAACAGCGCTGGCGGCGGTCACTGGGTCCAGAACTAAAATTTTCTAAGAACTACCACGTTACAATGGCGACCAGCACGGTCAAGAGACACTACAGGTATGTCAGCTACAACATAATTATATTCTTTCTACAACGACACCTACCTCTGGCTCAATACCTGACGATCTACTGCAAGCTGATGCGAAAGTGAATTACACCCGCGAACGCCGCGCTTGTCAACGGAACAGGGAAGCGCTTCACTCTCCGAAGTTGAAAAGTATTTGGACTGCTGCTAATTGGGAGAACAAACGACCACCATGGCGGCAGAACATTCCGCAGCCGTTCACCGACACGATCCGCTTCGCCAAACGACTTACGAACGTTTCGTTCTCCGAGTTTTCTGGTGGCAGCAACAAGAATTTCGTCCGCAACGACAGGACGAAAGTCTCTCGCGACTGAAGTCCTGTTGCCACGAAGATAGAGAAGATTCCGCAAGCCATCTCTTCTGCTTCCAGTGTTGTAGCTCTCCTGTCCACTGGCATATCTTTCAATCCCTGCGAACGAAAAAAAAAAAAAAAAAAAAAAAAAAAAAAAAAAAAAAAAAAAGGATCTGCTTCTCTCTCCAAAACAACAACTAACTAACTTTACTTCGCGAGTGTTCGGGCCGATCGTGTACATAGTGTATGTAGCGCATGCGGCGCACTTTCGCATGACATGTTTTTGCACAGCGGCTGGCGTTAGATCGCGCAGCCCGTTTGTACTTCGGATTTTGCGATTTTTTTCCATGGCAATGACTTCCTTTGTGAGTTGTCTACCTACGATGTATACTTTGGAAAGCGATATTCCGTACAGAAAGTACCGAAAAATCCAGGAAAAGTAGGCCTTTCGATTTTTCGAGCTGGAGGTAAAAAGTGCCTGGCAGGGAGGGGGTGGGGTGTACAGCTCAGCTGACAGCCTGGCAGTAGTAACTTTACTCCCTCGCACCCAGACGCTGATTTTTTGGAAACAAGTTTCTATACTTCCGATGGGAGAATCCGACATGGCAGTGCATTTCGGCGTGGCTAGGTCAAATAATTGTAGAATATCGCATCGAGTGAATTGCTTTATCTGAGAGAGGAGATGTTCGTGCCCTTGAGACCCGAAGTCCCGTTTCCATACGACAAAATTTAGGAGCTCTGCGCTCAGCGCTTTTTCAGGGTATGAATTTCGGGTTGTTTTGGTCGGGTCGCAGCGTCGCGGACTATACCATCGTCTTCAGCGTCGAAAAACTACTGGCCATGTGAAATTACAAGGCGGTGAGACGCTTTCGTCTTCCTCTACGAGCGAATTTGTTCTGCGCCAGCATACCTAAGTATGCAATTTTGTACGCGCAGTTCGAGTGACGAGGCGTGTGCACTGTACACTGTACTGCATGCACGGACTGTGCGGTCGTTCTCGATTCTCCCATCGCTCCCATTCATTTCTGTTTCCAGCAAAAGTCCAACTTGGCGCACTTCAAATCACTATAACTCAAGAATGGCTGGGCCGATTCGAATAATACTTACAGATTTCCTATGTACTACGCCTGGGAGAATCGAATGAGACCAAAATCGAAGCGATCGGAGCAAGTTTTGGAAATTGGGTGTAGTCACTACTGGCAGGGAGCGCCTTGTCACCTTGAGTGGTCAGCTGGCAGTGAAAGGGTTAATAATGAAAAATATAGTTTGCATGTAGCCCAAGTAAAATATATGGGCTTTACACATCTGGCTGCAGCAATAACTTAGGTGAAACATTCTGATCTTACTTGTATGTTCAATTGATAGCAGCTACTTAGGTTCAGGTGCTAGCGGAACAGGTTCAAGGAAGAAGGGGTTCAGGGACATTGGAAATTTGAGGTCCAGTAAATTCGATATAGATTTCCAAATTTTCATTTCATGCAGAGTCAGTACTCATCCGTTATGCCGATTACGAACTATACCATACCGCTATCATTGCCATGATTAATCTATTTCTATTTCGTTTCTTCTTCAGATATTCCAGAAGCAGGAGAAGAGTCCAAGGGGATTATATTGCTTACCTGTGATATGACACAACTCTCTAAAGACCAAATCTATCAATTTCATTTCCAACTCAACACTTCTGACTTTACGATGAATTTCGAGCTGGATAATCTTCCCAAAGACGACTTCATCATTCGTCCATTGGACACATACATTAGTTTGTTACAGAAAGGTACTGTCAAGTACTGTTGACACCTTTTGCATGACATGTATCGATGATCAATAGATTGCTTCTCAGTCACCCCTCAGACTTATGAATATTAGATGCATTGAGGCTCACCGTGTACTACTTTGTGTGTGAAGTGTGTGGGTGCAGTGAGGACTGGGTCCCACCAGCCTGTTTAGTTTCGCAGGAAGCATGAGTTTTTGAAGTGTGAAGAACAGTCAGTGCTGCTTGGATGACAGCTAAACCATCCCTGCAGCTCAGGGACTAGAGCAAGGCTGGCCTATGACAGAAAATATTTCGGACAAAGATCTAGCTTGTCATTAGGTGTATCCAAAGTGATGAAGCTGGAAAAGCGATTGTCCGCTGCCATGGATTTTTGTGCTTAATTTGTCAAATGCGCATGTAAAACCCACAATGAACACCCAACTGGGTATGTACACACCCATGGCCCTAGTACAGAACTTCGGACATCTATACAACGTGCATATGGACCATTGTGCTCACTACGTCTCCAAGGAGAGAGGAAACAGTCATTATGCCAAGTAACGCACTGAGGGTTACCACATTTTAACTCATCCGGCAACCAGTAAACTACAAAACTCAAATTGGCCGGAGCTGGCTTGTGCTTTCTTGCCTGTTCTGTGTTGGTCTAGAATCTCATCAGACGGATGCGCTGGTTCTTACGAGTACTGGCCACGAGGAGGCTGACAATATCAGGGCTGCATTGGTTGAGGCAATGGTGTCCTCCGAACTGCCATGCAATCAACACGTTCGGTTCCTTCGGCTGCCGCAGCAATGGGACACCAGCTTGCTGGAGGAAGGTACTGTGTATGGCAGTGACGTCATTACTTCTGTATTGTGAACAGTGGTGATGCCACTCACTATAATCTTGCGTGATAACTCCATGTAGCAAAGGAAAAGCAATAGTGATTGAAGGTAATTACACTAGAAGCAGCAGAAGTTATAATATTATGTGGTGTGCTTCGGCATTTTTTTAATTCTTTACACACTCACAACCAGCGGCTCGTATTGATTTCAAGATGCTCGGATGCTACGGAAATATAATTTAAAATGAAGTAATATCAGTCTATGTTGAAAGGAAAAGCACGTAATGCCTACTAATGGATACGAGTTAAGAGTAACTCTCCATCACTGTAACCAGATACTATATACAGTCAGAAAGTGCAACAACTAGGCACAAAACTGACAGAGTACTGAGACATTCGACATCCTGACACCTAGCTTCAACACATCTCCGTAGCGCTAACCGACAGCCTTCCAACTTGGAAGGTTCAAGGTTATGGAAAGACCAAAGAGGGGAAGGCAAGCGCAACGAAAACGAGCACAAGCTAACAGTTACAATCCCAACGGAACAAAGAACATTACAGGGTACCTCACTTCAAACTCTCCAACCACGGTCTCTTCGCTGCATAAGTTCACTTCACTTCCAAATAAAATAAATAATATTAGATATAAATAGAATGCACCAAATGTTCGGGCATGGCCCATCTTCAGGGTGAAAAAAACCATTCAACTAAAGCCAACAAAAACTGAAACGAGTATATATGCTGTGTGGTGCGGTAGTGCTGGAAATCTTTGTATGTGTGGAGAGTAGCAGCATTCTATTTATATGTATCTATTATTGCACGATTAAAGAGGTCAATATATGAAATATAGAACGAGTAAAAGACCGAGGTCCCCCGAGGTCTTTTACGAGGTCTATATTTCATATATTGACCGATTATGAGGGCAATAATAGATTTATCACGACATGGCATACCTAACCTGTTTTATCTGTGTTTATAGGAAGAAATGAATACTATTGTAATAGTACATAGTACAGTCAGACCTCGCTTATCCGGTCCTCGTTTATCCGGATCCCTCGCCATCCGGAAGAAAATAGTTGGTTACAAATGTACAGCATATGCCATGCTTACATACAGTATGTGTGTTCGATTATCCGGTTCCCTCGCCTATCCGGATATTTTTGTGGAAAACGGATGTGTGCGGTTATGCGAGGTCTGACTGTATGTACATATGCCGTTTACATTGGACATTACTTCTCTATAAACAGAAGTTTTCAGTTGTCACTTGTAGTATGTTCCCCAAGTTCTTTGACTGAGAATCTGACAGTTTGGGTTCAAATCCCAACATTTGGCTTCAGATTTTTCTTCTTTCAGTTCTAATTTTTTTCTAAGTTCAGGAAAAAGTTCTAAGGGGCCGTCCGGGGTTACCGATTGTTTTTACAAAACGAAAAGTTTTAGTATTTTTTCAGCCCCCACCCACCCACCCACCTTTTCTGCAGGTAAAACGAATTCCAATTAAATATTGACGTCAATTTTCGACACCCAGAAGTAACTGGGCATTCACCAGGCATCTGCATTCAATAATTATTTTCAAAACGAAACTATCAAACCCACCCACCCCCAAACGAAAATTTTCGTTTTGAAAATATTATTGGTAACCTTGGACGGCCCCTAAGTCCTCGGGCTAAGTGGTCAATATTAAGTGGTCAATATAAGCGGTCAATATATGCTGATATTTGACCGCTTAGAGATCACAAGTTTCGGTGGGGGTCAATAATAAGAGAGTGATAACTAATATTAGGGAGGTTCCGGAGTACGATTTTTCGTGCCAAAATCCGTGGAGGCTCTACGGATTTTTTATACGTCGTTTTCGAGCAGTGAAAAGTTCCGGGGTACGGAACTTATGTGTTTGCCGTCATTGCCTAGGTTACGATCGCAAACACGTCACATTCCCGCGCCATGCCTTTTTATTTTGAAAATTTGTACCGAAATCAAAACTTCCCGCGAAAAATCGATGTTTCTCGTACCAAATTTGTACGCGAAAAATCTTTCTGCACCCGATGACGCAAAATCTCCATACGAAACATGGTTCGTATGAAAGCCAGTCCACACGGATTCTCCGTGCCGAAAAATCGTATGGAGCACGCCTGGAAAAAATCCGTAGCGCCCATACGGATTTTGGCACGGAAAATCGTACCCCGGAACCTCTCTAATATTAGATATAAATAGAATGCTGAATAAATAATATTATCACATGTCACGTGAGTGTTTCCTTGGATCGGGCCAATCACTGGTCTGTATGAGGGGCAATATATCAGTCCAACGCCCGCGTCCAAAGCCCGTCGTCAGTGACAACCCTGACTGAGACTGTACGCGTGAAATCTACGGGATGTGAACATGGTGGGCATGGTGACTGTACGGCGCAGTGTGACATGTGAACGCGTGGTCGAAAGTGGCGATCTCGGCTTTCCTCGCGTGACTACGACGACTCTGTAGAATGTACGACTCTACGACGAGTCGCAGTGTAGCATTGAGACGAAGATGGAATTCTTTTTGGAGATGGACATGGCCTCGGACGTCTGCCGTGTGGTGCTTGCAGGGATCATTTGTTCAGTCATGTTGGCAGCCTGACCGTCGGTAAGCTTTTGGATAAGATTCAGTTCTGCTCGAAGTGGTACTGTGATCACAAACAATTATTTGAAATAACACAAATTCAACTCAGCGTCGTGCGTTTTCAGATCCTCGCAAAGTCACTGCCTGTGTGTGGTCTTCATGTGCCACGCAAAACTCTTACCAGGCTCATCTGTCCTCTGCCTTCACCTTTGCTTGAACAACAAACACAACAATTCAGGAATGTTTTGCAATGAAAAATACAGCTATCTGGAGCTGAGAAAAGAAGAAGAAAAATTGTCCTCAGAATTACACACCAGGGAGTCGTCAAATACTTGCACTTGTTGCAGTACTGTATTTGACAACTTCCTGATACACATGTAAACATGAAGAAACTCTTTGTGGTAGCACTCTTGATTTTTCAACTGAAATTATGATTCTGCTGTATTTATTGTCGTTGCCATGTCTATTGCTATGACGATGCGGTGCCGGCACTTTTTTTCTGTCTCCGTCTTTCAGTACTGTATACTCTCTGATGGCCTGTAGCAGACTTTTTGTTAGGGTGTAGGAGAAATATCTTCATTTTTCCTGTTTTGATAATGATAGCACATCAATATACATTGTGGTCATAATGTGTTAGCATTTGGGCTAATTTCAACAGCAGCCCAATGGTCTGCTCTGTGGGCCATGTGATAAATTTGTTATCGCATGGTTGCTGCGATAACATATACTTATTAGGCCACACTGAAAAAAGTCTGTGGTTCGACTCACCCGACCGACCGTACATTTTTCAGCCCGACCGTAACTTTTTTTTACCGTAGTACTAGTAGAGCATACTGCACCAAAAACTAAGTCTTTCTCCCCATTACAAGTCACAGTCTGTTTTCCCTTTACCGTTTCTGCTGTACAATGCTCCAATTAATTAATGTAGATTTCACGATTTGCCACCATACTCTTTACTCAACACATCTGCCATAGCACTGTTCATTGGGTCCGGAGGGCTGAGTCACATATACTTCTAAGTCACATTTCTGCCACACAATGTTTCAAAGTATTAGCCAGTGATCCCTTTATACAACATGTATGGCATAACACTGCATAATAATGCCGATGTACTGGGTGTCTAAAGGCAGTACAGTGTATTTACATGTACTAAAAATATATTTTAAAAAAAAAATCCGCTCGCCCGCCCGTAAAAAAAATGTCCA